GAACCATTCTGAGCACAATGATTGAGTCTGGGGTGCATCAGAGCAAATGAAGCAATAACAAGCTTGCCATTTTGTGCCAATGATCAGATTTCAATTTTCTAAAGCATGGAAATCTGCGAACAATGATGAAGGTTCATTTTAAATGGGCCAACAAGGACATGAACGTTTATGAGGTTTAATTTGATGTTCCCGTGGACCAGTCCAATAATGGGGGTCATAACTGGCTGACTAAATGGTGTCGTGCTCTTGAATTTCAATTAGGCCATTGTAGGGCTGCTCAATTAATCGTATTTTAATCGCAATTACGAGTATGGCTTGCAACGATTACGAAAACAACGTAATCGAAATAAAACGATTATTTTTTTATTATTATTACAACTTTTTTTTTTTTTTTTAATTAGATTTTCAGTTGAATTATACTTAAAGTTCACGGTAATCAACTGTTAAAAACATACTGTTCACATTTTTTTTTTCAATAAATTGATGTTTTCAAAGTAAATGGATAATCGTTTTTTGATAATCGTGATATAAATTATTGACCCAAATAATGGAGAATATGGTTTTTGCCATAATCGAGCAGCCCTAGGCCATTGGCTAATACACAAAAACAAAATTGAACTACTTGGTTGCAAATGTCTTCAATGTGGTTTGCATTTAAGGCAGCAAAACCAAGACATTTCTGCAACCCACTGTCAGTAGTGACATACTTCCAGCTGACAGCTGAAGAGGCCCAGTGTCAGCTTGCTTGCTGGGGTCTTCATCCCATGACCCCTTTGTGTTTGATTAGGATCGGGTTCCCCTGTGACACATGTGTGGAAACATACAGAAGATGAATCTCTTCTGGTGTGGATCCACTATAAAAATAAGCGCAGGAAAAGCTCATACAGCGAGACAAATGTTTTTTTTCTAGATTTGTGGAGTCAGGTACTTTTATTTTTGAGAAACCCTAATGTTCAGAGTGGACACCCTGCAGCTGTAAAGACATCGCTGTATGTCTTCAGCATCAAATACCATCTTGTATCTGCAGCTGAATATACACACATGCAGCGATGGTGTCGCCACTAATGTAAGCATTATCTTTAAATGTAAAGCATTTGGCTGACAGCATGTAATACCTGGGAAGGAGCTTCTTGTTTTCCAATAGAATTATGATGTGTGCACATTTAATAAGTAACTAATTCCCTATAATCCTATGTTGGGCGGCAACTGACATGCCATTAAATCTGACTCCACACGTGTTGCTTGTATGAACATGTGAGCCATTCAACCATCTCGGGTTAAACACAAGCCAAAGAGTGTGTGTGTGTGTGTGTGTATATTAAGTTACACATTTCTATGCTCATCAACCAGTAACATCACAAATTACGTCGGTATAGATAGAGTTACTGCAGTCCGGTTAACTTGACATCAGAGATACTGTTTTACTTTTTCAAGACGTCATTCACTGCTGATGTTTTGCCAAAGCTCCCACTAATCTACTAAGGTTTTAGACACTTGTTTTTTGCACGGACTTGGAAACATTTTAGCTTAACTTTTTCCCTTTTGTGAGTCATGCCAAACGCTTATTGAGTGCAGCTGAAATGCACAGGGAGCTTTGCATTTTGAACTTCACATGAACATTGGTCTTCTGTAGAAAACTAAAGCTTTTTGTTTGATTTGTTTTTAAAATGAAGTCATTTCAAGCTGCTCTGTGGAAGAGAAAAGTAACTTACACTGGCTACCAAATCCAAGCTTTTAACTTGTTTGTTGTTCATTTCTTAGATTTGTTGATTTTCTCAATTTACTATTTATACAGAGATTACCTCAGATCCAGCTGGAAAAACAAGTGTCAGCTGTACAAAATGAAACACACACACACACACACACACACACACACACACACACACACACACACGAGCCCGTGCTGATTAGGCACACACCAGGACAGATTATGTCATAATTTATAGTATTTAGTTTATAACTATATAGTATCATGATGAGTAAGATAAGCAGATGGAACACAAAGCCTCTGAGTGTGTCTGTGTGATCTCCTGGATCGGCTATTCGTTGAGTTTTATATCGGGTGCTGCATTAGTGCTTGTATTTTAAGTTACAACGATGAATTAAATATGACTAAAGCTTACTCCTACAACCAGCTAATAAATGGAACATTCTTTTTGGCTGACCTTTTATGAGTGGTATCTAACCTGTCCCATAGATCTTAGGAAGAAAGCAAATCAAAGTGTTAATATTTTAAGCTTGAGTTATAACAGGGTGTCCGCGGGGTCTTAAAAAGTATTAAAAGTTGATAAGTAAATTTAGCGAAAATTAAGGCTATTAAAAAGTATTAAACGGCATTTTGGCAAGTATGAGCTTGTTTTCAATAAGTATATAAATTGTCCAAAGAGGTTGGATTCTACAGTCTGACTGAATGTAATCATTGCGTAGGTGTGTAGTGTGATTCTGTGTAGTTTATTTATGGCATCCCGTTGGATTTGACGTCGTCTTCTGAACAGGACATCGCACGCTCTCTGCTTGATAGCGCGCAAAGGTCCGTTAACGCCGGTTGTTAAACAACATCGTTATGGGGAAATGCAAGTTTGCGTCCAAATGGTTGGAAGATAAGGAGGAAGGACAATCAATACTGTATATAGTAAATGTGAGGTAAAGTGTGTCGCCA